TGGTTTTTATTAACAATCAACTTTCTATAAACATTGCATCTAAATGTTCACCAATCAGCTGCACAATTTGAACAATTTTACTTCCAAAACAAAGACAAATGCTTTTATTTCCTTATGTCTCTGTCTTTCCTTGGGCTAGAGAAAGAAGTTTTTGTATGTAAAAGCAGATTCCAAAGGGGCAGTATTTCAAATGTGCTTTTTGTACACAGCCACATCCATAGCATGTGGATATTCATCCTGCTAGACCTAGCTCTGCAGTCCACCATCAGGGCTATACAGTAAGCCCAAATCGTAAGCATCACCCCAGGCTTCTGAACCACCCCACTGTCTGAGGACTTCATGTCTGAGACCAAACAAAGCACAAACAGATTTGGTAACTATGTCTATGTGATTGAAGAGTACACTAAAGCAAAAAAAAAAAAAAAAAATGGGGGAGATAGGACTGAGGTAAGAGATCTTTGACAGCATTTCCAGGAAATTCTTGCAATAAATGTGGGCACAATATCTGAATTACTGCTGGTAGCCAAAGTCAGAAGCCCACCAGTGGTATCATGACTTATAAGGAGTAAAGGCCAAGTCAGAGAGAGGGCTGGCCAGTGATACCCCGAGACTGTTTTCCTTTTCTCCCTTACTCGGCCCACAAGTAACAGTCCTCCTGGCCCTGAGACCTCAGCCAAGATTTCTGTTTGGTTTGGCCAAGGGCCATCTTTCCATAAAGACTGGTGAAAAATAAGGCAAAACTGGGGATAAATAGTCCCTCAAAAGCACTGAGGGGCAAATGTACAGACCACAGGAGATTAGTAAGACCTAGAGTCCCCACTAGAGGGAAGCACACATATCCTTGCTAAGTCAGCTTCATTGGCCTGCCAGAACACAGGTGTTAGAACTATCCCTACCTAAACACACTTTCCTCACTACATAAACCCTCAGTGCTTTTCAAGTTCAGCACATGGGGTTCTATGAGGGAGAGGGATTCACACTTAAAAATCTATCCTTGTTTTCATTTTATCACTCACCCATGGTTGGAGGATAGAAAGGACAGGTATACACAACCAGGGACCTTTCCTAAGGGGCATGGGTAGGGCTGAGCTGAGGTTCAGCTCCTCTGGCGGGTAGTCTATAGCGCCTGGTGTCTGCAGACTGAGAAGGGATGTGGGTAATTGCACTTTGGGGCACAGTGGGCACAGGCATGGACTAGATATGGCCTGGGAGACAAGAGAGGGCAGACTGACCTCAGTTCAGTTCTCTGGACAATGAGAGGAAGATCATGGTGAGGCAACTCCACAGACCAGAACTGTGATCCCAGTCAGCAAGACACAGAAACAGCAAGAGAAGGCTTACTTCCAGGATCTCTCACCCAGGGAACAGAGATCCTGTATTCTCTTCCCAACCTTCAATACCAGTTGCAGGGCTTCTACTCTGAATATTTGTATTTGCTTTATCTTTTTTTGGGGGGATGGGGGATATGCAGGACTAGGGATCAAACTCAGGTCCTCAAATATTCTAGGCAAGTGCTCTAATCACTGAGATATCTCCCCACACCACTGCTTAATCCTTCTAACAGGTCAGTTGAGGCACCTAAGGCTCAGGGAGACTCCAGGCAGGACTCCCCAGGTATCACCCTGCCCCATTTCAGGAGGCTCTGCAGGTGCTAGCAGCTGGATGACAGTTCCCTGGCTGAACATCTGAGCACTCATGTCCTGGCCAACTCCCAGAGTTGACTATTTGCCTAGCACTATGAAACTGGGCTTCAAGAACAGAATTATAAGCAGACATTTTAGGGAGACAAAGGTCATTTGATAGTGTTGAATTTGGTTTTGTCTGTCTTATGAAAAATGGCTCAAAAGGTAATCCCTGATGATAGAACAGACCAATTGCAGGGCCAAGGGCTCCTAAAGGATCCTGTCTGTTCAGTATGGTTAAGGCAATGATGGGTGGGTGTTGGCTGGGAAGCAGTAACATAGTGGCCCATGCACTTTGCTGCTCACACCTGGCCTTCCTCCCAGAGCCAGTCACCTGCCTTTTGGCTCTTAGCAATGGCTCCATGGAACTTCCCCAGCAGGAGCCAGCACATCAGACAGGTGACAGGAGCACCTACAACACACACATCCAGACCAGACAATATGTGTCTGCTCTTTCAGCATAAAGCCAGCACCAAACTGGAGAAATCTATTGGTAATCATTTTTTCAATACTCAGTTTTGTT